GGCCAGTGAAGTATACTGCAAAAATAACAAAGTGGCATTTTTCTTGAGTTTGCTAATCTAGTCGCTGTGTCAGTTTATCCTTGCAAATTACTCACTGTATATGGTTTAATATCAAGGTTAAGGTTAAATATCATGGATTAACCGCGATCAAGAACGAAGCTTACCCTCTAGTTTCTCAAATTAATTAATTTTCCTGCTCTGTTCAACAATCTAACGTTTGGTTTTGTTGGAAATAAGCCGTGTAAGTTTATAGCTTCCGAAACGGAATCCCCAGCAGTCAAACATTCACGTTATTGATTAGCTTGTTAGTTACCGTCTTGCCCAAGCGCGGGTCATGTGGTGTTCAAGGCTGAGAAGATAACGATAGTTCGTGGTCTCCAAATAATTTGAGGAAACTCTCTACTTATAATTTAGGTAAAACGAAATCATGTCTCATTCACATTAATGAGACTATTAACACCACCATCAAGCAGGAAATGCCGCCATTAATCTTAGTTATTTTCCTTTGTAAAACAAATACACGTTTAAAGCCGTTTAGGAAACAATGTAATTTCAATGTAGCACAGGAGCACGTATACATGTACATTGCTGCAAAAACTGGCTACTAAATTCGCTTGATTATGTGACTGTAGTTGATGTCGCCAAATGTCTTCTGTTACACTTTCCTCCCTAGTTATTACTGAAAGGTTTTGTGTTTGTGGTTCTCCCTTGTATACTTTCGTGCCAATTTTTTGCGTTTTTCATCTTTATATATCATTGAAATATATATTACAATCGTGCCATTAGTCATTTTCCTTTTGACAACGATAGTAAGATGTCAGTTGGCCAAAAAAGATTAGAGAATTTCAAAGGACCTTAAACAGAGAGGCCCCTATTTGGAGTCAGGTCGTGTATTTTCTGTTTATTTAAAGTTTACAACAGCCAGTTTGTCCCGTTTTACATAGCCTCAATCTCATTTATTCTAGACTTTTTCTGCGGTGGTACCTTGGCGCTTTTATTTTGCTAATATATTTCACTATTGTTTGGTAATAATCGTTTCCTTTCTTTCTGCGATCTTTTTCGATGATTGATCGTTTTAATTGAAATCGCACGGTCTTTTATTCTCGTTAACGTTGTAAAAAATGGTATTGGCATATATCCGGCAGTCATCAATACCATAATAGAGAGAACTCAAGCGTATTATTCGCAGGTTCTGCGCAAACCATTCAATGCTTAACAAAAACCCTATAGAGTTCGAGGTTTGAATCAGAGACTCTTGACCATTTGAAAGGAGAAGGTGCATGTAAACTGTCATGAATGTGATGTAGTTCCATAATTTATATTGCGTACTCAAACTCGACAACATTTAAACATATTAGACCACTGATTTTTCAGTGGATTTTTTCCCAATACTATTTTGTTCGCAAATATGAGTCGCAGTGGAGAGTTTTCTTCTTCTTGAATGTTCAAAGAGGGAGAGGCTCTTTTTCCTGCCAAGTTTCTGTGCTCATTTCTCATAAGGCGAGAAAAGCAAAGCGAATAGAGAAACGTAGCGCGCTCAGCCGACTGGTCAAACAGGGTTTTTTTACAGTAGAAAATAACCAACTGTCCAAATAACCAACTTTCCAAATAGCCGTACAATATCGGAGGATGACTGTACTCTAGTCGCGCATTATTGTACTCTACTTTGTGCAGTTGAATAATAAATACTACTATCACACCTATCGGTCAATGAGAGAACGCGTTGCGGTTCCAACTGACGATATAAGAAGCCAAGAAAAGATAGATTTCATAAAAGTTTGTGACACGCATTCTGCTTGGAACTAAAAATTACTTTTAAATGTCATTTGGCTTGAAAGAGTAGTTATGCGGAGTCTCACAACCATCGCCTGCATGCATGCCGTTGTCGAACACAGGCTGACTCTAAATGTAATTTCGTATTTTAACATGTCCTTCACAAGATATTTGAATTTACGAAATTCATAATGGAGCAAAGAGAAAAACACTAAAAATCGCCACACAAAAAGCAAACACAACCCTAACTAACTCCCTAAGGGGAAAAAATTCCATTTACTTTTATTTCATTTAGTTGCGTTCTGCTCGTTCTTAAAAATAACTCTTTACTTCTAACTAACGAACGAGAAATCTGTCAGGGAAGCATGATTTCCTGGATTATGACCATTTTAGTCCTATGATCTTTAAGAGTGACTTGCAAAAGATGTCTTATTCAATATCACCTTGGAATCAAACTTTAAGCTCTCGGGAGTAAAGGAAATGATCACCAACCAAAGAAGCTCATGATTGTAAAACAAATTATCCTTGTTGACACCTCAGGAGATGAATGGAGAACAGTTTGAACAACATGCATTCTGATGTTAGAACGAACTTTTAGGTCTCAGTCACATTAATGAGTCTGTTGTACATTGCGCTTCCATTTTGCTAATATATCTCACTATTGTTTGGTAATAATCGTTTCCTTTCTTGCTGTGATCTTTTTCGATAATTGGTTTATTAGAGAGAATTCTATCGTATAAGTTGTAGGTTCTGTGCAAACCATAGAATGCTTAGCAAAAAAGTCCCCAGAATCGTTTCTTTACATGAGTGGTGCCAAATCTGAAATGCATGATGTAGTAGCATAATCGCTCTTCATTCTTCTTACATAATTATAAGCTATTCCACACTTTGTGAATGTAATTGTGTGTAAGCTTTTTCAAAAAGCCGTTGATTTCATTGTAAGCCCTCGGCGAGTTCTAATCTCTAATTTTAAACAGCTTTATAGAATAGCTGAAGCACTTTTTGAAATGTATCGCTTGCAGCACCTCGTCATGCTATGTGCTCCTTTACAAAAGATCAGTTTAAAAATGATGAATAAGCAAACATTGGAGCACAAGTTGCTTAGCTAACCAAGTGAAATATAATATGTAACTATTATTACTGACATTTCTTCTTTTCATTATGAAAACTTCAAAATAATATTTAACAGGACTTGATAGGAACTCTGCGATTTTAGCGGTTGCGATTGCAATTTTGTGCCTACTGTTTAAGAACTCCTGAACTCCTGATGTCAGCTTTCAGACAACCCACCAATTTGATCACAGCTGGCGATATACAGCACATTTACGGGGGATGCATGCACTTTCTCGACCCGCACCAGTAA